CGAACGCCCAACTTGTGTACACATAAAATTCGCCATGTCGAAATACGTGCAGTCAAATCAGGGAGCACCACGGGGAAGTCGGCGGATGCAGGCCGGTAAGCCGGCACAAAAGCAGTAGGAGCAGTAGTAGAAGCGGGGAGCATGCTGTCATCTCGAGCCCCACTAAACAGGGGTTGCAGCTCAGGCCGCTGCCGCCACAACGTATCCGCCACAGAAAGAACTTCATTGACTCCCGAAGCAGAAAAAATGANCCCGAAGCAGACAAAATGGCTCGTGATGGGCATTTCATGTAAGAAAAATCGGGAGAATCACCGCGGCGCCCTCCTATGCGCGTATCACTAGCAAGGTCCCAGTCTCGTGAGCGACGAGCGAAAGCATCATGAGCCGGCATCCCGCAGGTAATCGCCAATAAGGGCGAAGTCTAAATTCTCGTGGGTGGTGAGACCTAACAACAAGCAACGTGGTGGTCGTGAGCAAAGCGTGCCTCGGCGCACGAAAAGGGAAGAATCGCGTCCAATTCTCTCATACCGTGCCTGCCAGACTGACGCCAAGTTTAGGGGAATTCATGCCCGACGGTGGCTTGCCTCCTAGATGTAGTAGATGTAGATTCTGCCGTAGACACTCTTGTCCACGAGCACGTTGAGATGGGAAGGTTGCTTGTTATTGCAGAAGCGGGTCTGCTACAGGTCTGAGGTGAGGCGGATTGCCCTCAACCTGGGGGCCCGCAGATAGCTAAGTCCCGATGGGGTACGTCCTAAGAGGGTATACCTCCTGACGTCCCCCACCTTACTCTAGACCGACTGTGTACCCTATCTGTGCCATACAGCAACAACACTCCTTATCACGTACATACAACGGTGATGGTATTGGGGGTAATTGTTTGGGAGTGAAGGAAGGAGAAAGGAAAGAAAGGAGAATGAAGGTGATGATGAACGAGGAAAACATGGCGGAGAGGGCAAAGGGTTTCAGCCAGATGACCTTCCTCACATCAAACGCCGCAGGATCAGAGAGAATGGGCCTGTCAAAAGGTACTGAATGGCGACGAGAACGGCGGTACGCGGTGGCAAATGCAGAGAAGACGATGAACCCAATCCGAAACGAGCGCGCATCCAAAGTAGTAGCACCCATGGTAAACACGTGCATCTTAATTTTGTTATCACTACGGTATCTGTCTATAATTCGGTGAGTATCGTAGACTCCCCCATGACGCTCGGTCACGGGGTCCCAGATCGTCATGGCCTCAGACGCATAGACTATTATTGTGTTTTCCACCGCACTAGATTGACATCATTTCATTGGTCAGCCGGTTACAGCGCTGTCGACGCCAAGAAGAAAGACTATGCAGTACACAAGGACGCCGCTTTGAAATAGCTTACCTTCGACGGCGGACAGCAACAAATGCCATCGGGACAGATGTAACTTGGCGTCCGCCAATCAGCTCTCTCCATTTAACCTGGCGCCTACTTGGTTTCTTGTCTATTTTCGAGTATTTTTGGCAATTACGCGGCTTTTTCTTCTACGCGAACCGTATCAAAACCAGCCAGTTCAGAGACCGACACACATCAGGTGGGAGCCTGGGTGCTGCAGCCGGCGCATACCAGACGCCAACAGCAGCAGATGCTACTCTGGTCTCTGTGTTCACGGAGTTTCGCGATGTCAGTCCACACGGAGTGTTGATGACGAGCACGCCGCAGCACCCGCCAGAAGTGCTAGCTACAGCGAGGAGAGAGAGGGAGATCGCACAAACACGAACGCACGCACACACACGCTCCCTCGTGACTTCCTAGTGGCTCGCTAGGTTCGGACGAGGGTATGTGTGGAGCTATGACAGTCTATGTATTGATGTTTTGTTTGATTCATCTAGCTGCTGGCACGATGACTGTTGGATCTTGGGAGTGTACGATCATCAAATTGGGAGATGCAGCATACCACGATATCCTGGCTT